GATGTGGGCGTACCTTTGGGACGAGGTTAGGGTTCCGCATGCAAGGTTAGAGCGGGCGTACATTGAATTCACGAACGAGCTAGACATGCTCACGACGTCTAGTGTAAGTAAATTTTATTTCCCATGCTGGTTTGAAATAGTTTAGTATAGCATCTAACATCTTGTTTGGACATGTTGTAGGTGCCGTGGGAGCTGTACGATGGAGAGGGGCACTTCCTTTTTAGTTGAGCAACATGTGTGGGTGAGACGACGACTTCTATAGGATGAGGTGCCCTCTAATCTGTTTCTATGCTGTCGAGTTTCACCTGCCAGATAGAGTTGCACGCCAATTTGGAGTGAGACAGCTTTGGCCAATGGCTCCATTCTCGACTGGCGTTGACTTACACAAGTAAGTGTTTTGCTATTTCAATTGTCTCGTGATGGTCCATTTCCATTAATTCCTATATAAGATGAAGTAATGATGACATACGTGCACTTTTAATATGGTGACATGTACATGGATTGAGATGAATGTGCGTGTATGGGCATTTCTTGTTCTCATCATTATGGCAAGTTATATGACTATGGGTTCAACCCATGTCGTGATCTATTTCCTCTTCTTTCTTTGGAACCCACATGGTAACATTTTCCATAGTGAAGCTTACATATGATGATACTGTTACGTATGATTTCTTCAATTACTCTATATCTTTCTTGAGAAGCTTACATCAAATAGTCACGTCATATAGCTTAGGCGCCATCGTTTTACAGCATCAATTTCATACCTGCCAGAAACTAACATCTTACGTGACGTGCAGATTGGATCGTCAGAAGAACAGGAAGATTTTTTATTGGGAGAAGCACCACCAGTACTAGATTGAATAATGGGAGCTATTGCACGATAATGTGGACGAGAACAATGAGCCTCATACGAACCGTGAGTACAGGCATTACCAAGTTTGGTACCAACGTGCGACACGTTGCATGCTGAGGCTACAATGGACTGAAGATGACTACGCCGACATCGAGTCCTCGACGATGAAGACACGGCGTACGACCAAACTACTCTTGTAGGAAGGCAAGTGGAGGCAGGACCAATCTTGGACAGAGTGGTAAGTCAATTGCCTTATTTTTCTATGTTAAGTTGCATACCAATACATTCTGCGTTTGAGGTCTCTATTTTAGTTAGTGGCACTTTTGAGTCATAGCATCCTTATAATTCAATACAACAGATGGAGTTGAGGAACTGGTCATGAATTAATTAGTACTCCATACTAGATTAGTAGCGTCCTCATTTTTCAATGTCCACCACAATCTTACTGTGAACTTTGTTGCAGGGCAATACCCTCAAATGCTCGGTTGAAGACATTAGCGCTTTCGTCCGAGAGTCAGGGACGACGACACGCGTAGCTTCCTAGACATAAGATTCATTATATTCTTTGAAATATATTATTAATACGTTAAATTCTTTCAGTTAACATTATTTTGTACAACAGAGACTATCACGTCGGCTATGCCGTGCGACTGCTCGTTGTGGTTACAGGACAGCCACGACGCAAGACGTGCACGTTCCTTCCGCAGGCAGAGGAGGCTTAGGTTCGTCTAGTCAAGCACCTACAGGGTCCATAGGCATTACGTATGAGGACGACGACGAAGTGGACCAGAGGCACGAGGAGCTTGGCCTGTCTCAGCTCCAGGACGCTCCCTCGACTTAGCCTACACAGCCTTTAGGCACTAGGCGACGCCGTTCACCTGACCCTTACACTCTAGGCACCGACGCTCTTGGTCACAAGGGTAAGGGTAAGACTAGGAGGCAGTGAGGGTTTGTGGTAGATGTTATTATATAGTATTATGAACTTTGTGGACTTTCATTATGAACTATTGTAAAATGTATGGACTATTATTATCGAATATGAACTACTATGGACTATAATTATGGACTGTGTGGACTATTAATGTGCTCATGTATATGGTTTTAGATGAATGTAACATATATTTGTATGTTTGTACATGTTGTGTTAAGGTTAAATATTCATCTCATATTTGTGTATGGATGGCATCAAAAATAGGGGAAATTATGGCGAAATTTTCTACCTAAAGTACATATTAATCAGCGGCATCAGTTTTTCTGGTTCAAAATAGTGATTGAAGTCTGAAATCGAATAGATTTTTCAGTTATGGAATCTAGGGAAATAACCTTTACAGTGATTTATCATGTCACCGTTGAATAGACTTTTCTTTGTCCTTCAAAATAGTGATTAAAGTCTAAAATCAAATAGGCTTTTCAGTCATGGAATCTAGGCTCTCCAGTGTCCTACGATGTAGGCTTTTTAGTGATTCTGAGTATACTTTCTAGGAATATTTATAGCATAATACAATGACTAGCAAACCTGCCTCCGCCTATGTATATGCGTTCTGGGATGCATTGCTAACCAAAAGGAAAACCAAACTAGTATTCGGTTTCGTTGGAGTAGGAATGTCTGGAGGGTCGTCTCGAGGAAAGGATTTCAGGAGTAGGAGAGGAAAGGGGGGACGAAGGGAACTCCAATTGTGTGGGAGGGGTCTTTTGGGCTTGATTTCTTTGAGGAACCAGTGTATCAGTTGCCCCCCCCCCGAGAGCAAGAGTGATTTCACTAAAGAGTGCCCTCTCAGAGGATACGATAACAGGAAGGAAGATTGGCCAAAATGCAAGTATGGTGAGGACTGCTTAGTGCAGATGTTCACCAAGGGGATCGACGGAGGTCGTCGCTTCTTCAAATGCCCACAAGCATGGGTAATTGCTATTACATTTTGTTTGTTAAATATGTTTCTCGAATACCCTTACAACTCACATGACATACTTATTGTAGTCTTCTGAGTCCGAAGAAAACAGTGGGTTCACTAGGTGGGTCGATCCTCGACCAATTATTCGCATTAGTAGTCATTAACTACTTGTAGGACCAAATCTTCGATCTACAAAGGGAAAGCGGGTACAAGGAAGACGAAGACGACGACAACAACAATGGTGCAAGTTCACAGGAGGCACTATGCAATGATCCATATTGCACCTGCCCTAATCACAAGAACAAAGGCCTCCATCGTCACCCCCACCACCAACAACAACAACAATGGGAGGCTACTGTGGAGAAGGTGCAACACAATTTGCTATGTGGCCACACTACTAGGACGACCCTATCTTATTCACATGGCACATCCATGTGTTTGTTGTTTAGTTTAATTACCTAAGGCATGTTAGGTTTAGTCAAAGAAACTATATACCCTTGTTTGGTACTTGTTTTCACATGCCATTTCTTGTGCTTGTTGTTCGCTTCAATTACCTAAGATATGTTAGGTTTAGTTCAGGACCTCTGTACCCTAGTTTGGTACATGTTCTCACATGCCATTTTATGAGTTTTGTATGTTGAATTATATAATGTCCTACTTCATTAGGTTTTGTTTGCAGCACGTGATCACATTTCACTACGTCCACAATATTAAACTGAATATTATGACCACAAATAATGAAAACATCTACATAAAGAAAAGTCCAATACCACACATTAAATAACAAAATAATACTAGAAGTACGTGCCGATAAACTAAATAACATAGTACATGACCTAAGCATGTCCATACTTAAAGTGCATTACATGATAACACAATGAAAAGTCCAATAGTAGACAATATTGTTCATGAATAAACTATAGAACTAGCAAGTAATGGAGACTATTGAGTGCAACGAGGTCACTTTTCCTTCCTCAGGGCATCGGGATTCTCCTCCATCGCTGTTGTCGCTCGGCGTGAACGCTCAAGCTTCTTCTCCCTCTCCTCCCTGTACGCAGCAACACGCTTCTTTTCCTCCTCTTCCTTGTGCTCCTTTTTTGCAGCCTCCTCTCCACGTCTCTTCTCCATCATTTTCTTGTCCTCTGTCTCCCACCGCAACAGTTCTGCATCCATTCCTTATCTTCAGGCTTGATCTCAGTGTCGATCCACTGCTCAAAATCACAGAGCGGTGGAGGGGTCTGCAAAAAATGCAATTGTTACAAAACAAAAAAATCATGCAAGATATCATATGACACAAACATCAATTCCTCAATATCTTGTTAACGCGGAGCTGACGAAGTGTAGACTCAAACGTAAAATCGGAACACATCCAATACCGCTGCCTATACGTGTCCTATTTATCGGACTTGGCTATCTTGCAAGGATCGCCGTAAAAGCACATGGGTACTGGAACACCACTAGGCAGAGGCAATGGGTCGAAGACATTTCCGGTCATCCAGCCATAACTACAATTTAGCCATTTTCGTTCTAAGAACCGAAAGCAATTAACATTAAACCATACACCTAGGGTTTTCTATTTGATCCGCAACAATAAACCCATATCATAACAACGTGCGCTGATGTTACATTGGTTTGGTAGCTTTTCCATGTCTTAGCATCCTACGGTTGTATAATATAAATATTAAAATTGCATGAAACCATATGTAATGACGATTCTTAAGTTGAAAAATCCGACTAACATATACTGAATCGATTTGAAAAAAAAAACTAGGAGGGAGCAAGGATACCTTACTCTCAAAAATCTAGAGATCAAATCAAAGTTTTCAAGGTCCAATATACCGATTTGTGAGGTAGTACGAAGTGGGGAGAGAAAAAACCCGAGACGGATGAGAAAGAAGAGGAGAAAGGCTCGGGCAGAAAGGTTGGGCGCCGGGTTAAAACACCACCTCGGCGTCATAGATCTTGGCACCGTTCTCGACGCCAATAACCACGGCGCCAAGCTTGGCGTCAAGCTCGGCGCCAAGGTGTCTGCCAAGTCACGCCACGTCTGCGTCGAGCTCAAGACCTATGCGCCAAAATCTATGGCACCAAGACGTGTAAGCTCGGCGCCACTAACAATGACGCTGAGCTAAGAGTCCAGATTTTAAAAGCATACCTCCAGATATTTGTGAAAAACTTTCAAAACAAAAAGGGCTAAAAAAAATTCGTCCGGCAACGTCGTCTTTGGCAACATCGCACCGCCAGCGGGAGTAGCAAACATGGCTACCACCGTCACATACGAGGAGGAGTTCTCCCGCAGCGGCAACCAGCAGCAGCAGCAGAATAACGTTTGTCCGCCGCTGATATTCGGGCCGTTCCCATACCAAGGCCCGCGGCCTCCCGTGCTGAAGCAGTCCATGTTCGTGCGGCTGCCGCGATACAGCGGGACTGAGAGCATCGGTGGCGCAACCGTCAGAGCTTCACCTGCAGGTGCAGGAGAGTACGGCAACGCCGCCACCACTTCACTTCTTCGGACCCTGAACCTTGGTACAGAACCAGATGGCCACGACGAACTCGCAGCCATGATGGCCATGTACTCTGAGTCCACCAATCCACCGGTGGCCAAGGCAGCAGCTACAGCAGCAATGTACAGCGGCAACTCTAGCGCACTCATGGCGCCTCAGCCGCAGCAAATTGGTCACGGTGTGGTAGCAAACAGGGCAGAAGCCATGGGCGCGCTCAACACCAACTACAGCGCTGCAGAGGCCGTGGCGCCTCAGCATGTTGGTCACGGTGTGGCACCAAAACATGCAGCAGCCGGACAAGAAGTACCCAACAATGGCGACGACTTCAGCACCTACACGACATCACTCATGGCCCCTAACCAGGTTCTTGACATGGCTTCGAATGTGAATGAGCTGACAATGGCAGGAGGAGCATGTTTCAGCAACGCCAACGACGATGCATCGTTCACGGCGCCTCAGGATCTCCGCGGCGCCAGATGGTGATCAGCTTGCACCAGGAGCACTGGACGCCATCAGTGCATCGCTCATGGGGTCTCCGGGCCCTGGCGCGGCGATGGATGGGAACCCTGGCCTCGAGCTCGAGGCAATGTTTTCTCCTGATCAGTACGACGACAACACCATGTTCCCACTGGAAGCTCTCCTGGGGCTGGATGATGCTCCCGTGTACGACGCCGGTGTAGACTACCAGCAGGGTGGCGCGGCTGGCGGGACCGCCGGCGATGCTGCAGGGACCTCGCTGATCGCCGATGCTGATGACAACCTTGACGTCCTGAATGATTATTTGTTCATGGACAGCACTGGGGATTTCAACAATGGCCGCAAGTAATTCGTGGAGTACAGCAGTGCAGTAATAGTAGTAGCCTGAGAATAAGAGAGACAAAGGTCTCATGAGTTTCCTCCTGAAGTTAAACCAGCTTGGAATAATGTATATACTCTCTACATTTTTAAATGTATGATGTTTAGGAGAAGCTAATTTGTTTAAAAATAAACTAATTAGCTTGTTCTAAACATAGTATGTTTAAAAATGGAGGGTGTAATAAAGTAGTTACTCCGCTGAACTAAAGCGATGTTGCACTGGATGAAGATTTATGTTCTGTTAAACTCTGTTTATTTGTCTCCTTGCTTTGTTATCTTTGTTATGATTTAGTCGCTCTCTCTGAAACTATTCCTTTTGCTCTCTCTGAAACTATTCCTTTTGCTTTTACCCATGTCTGATCAATGAAAAAATTACAAAAATGACACTCGAAAGATTGACTCTTGATTATGTGGTTACCAATGTTTCATATAAAGGACTCTACTTATAGAGAGAATTCCTTATTTGACACTGGAAAAATAAGTCGTTTCTTTCTTGGCTCTAAAATTTTCTTCGTTCCCTATTTGACACTCACTTCAACTTTCATCCCTAATTTGACACTAACGTCAAATCCGTTAGCTAACAGTGTTAACTGGTTGTTAAAAAGACGTTTTTGCCCCTGGAAAAAAACCGGCGAAGCAAATTTGAGAGGAAAAAAAAACCTGCGCCCGCCTCTGATGCATGCGCCCAGCTGCAAAAAAAAAGACCAGCCAGCCAGCGATGCATGCATGCAATAGCGCCTCTGCATGCGTCTAGAGGCAAAAACGTCTTTTTAACAGCCAGTTAACACCATTAGCTAACGGATTTGACGGTAGGGTCAAATTAGGGATGAAAGTTGAAGTGAGTGTCAAATAAGAAACGAAGAAAATTTTAGGGCCAAGAAAGGAACGACTCATTTTTCCAGCGTTAAATAAGGAATTCTCTCCTTCTTATAAGTACTTTGGTTAGTCAATAGCCCATTAGTCCATGAGATAGTGGATTCTCTCGTTATTCAGTAGCCAGCTACAAAACAAGGTATTCTATAGCCACCTCTATTTACAATAATTTTATATATTAATTTATAACAATGTCAATACATATTTACGATAGTTGGGTTTCTATAACACATGGGGATATTAACCATAACATTATAGTAAACCACTTAGTAAGGAGTTACTATAATCTCGTAAATTAATATAGTAATTATCATAACTCAAAGTGGCTATATAATAAATTATTTTATAGTCAGCTATAGATAATATATATATAATATATATATATATATATATAGAGAGAGAGAGAGAGCTACTATCCTGTAGGATATCTTTGACAATTGAACTATCAAAAACCAATCAACTTTGGTCCTCGACGGGTTTCAAAGGTGGTTTTGCATAAAAACAATAAAAATGTGGTCAAAATGTCTAGAAATTTATAACTAATTCATTTTAAATACAAAATATAATAAAATGGGTACCATACTTTTTTTTTTAAAAAAAACAATCTATCTGTTGGAGTTGTATCTAGGGTTCATTGGATCTTCCTTTTAGAAAAAGAAAATTTTATTTTGGACTCTACAAGAGTTTTGCACCCAACCATTCATTATTATAGAATTGGATCTTATTGTTGCTATTGATTTTTTTTTGCTCATAGTCATGACTGATACTTATTTAGGCCCCGTTTGACATAGCTCGGCTTCACTAGTGAAGTTTTTTAGGTTTCAACTTCATGAGCAACTTTCTCGGTGAAGTTAAAGTTGTTTTGGAGACCCGTTTGGCAAAAGAGCTTTGCATGTAGATTTTCTTAAAACATGTCCTCATAGAATCTCACACAGGGCTCACAAGTGGAAGGTGAAGCTATGAAAAGCTACTATTTTCATCTTCATCCTATCTCATTTCCATATGAGAGCACGATTTAAGGAGCTTCAATTGGTGAAGCTGTTTTCAAAAGACCCATTTAGCAAAAAACAGCTCGCAATAACTCATGAACTGTTGGTGAAGCTATGCCTAATAGGGCCTTAAATTATCATTTTGCAATTTACTTTATTTAATTTTTGTTGATTGCATGATTAGTTAATTACATGATTGAGCCAATGTCTTATTGAAACCTATTGCTTAGTCAAGCGATCAAAATAAAGTAAAGCACTAGCCATGCAATACCTAAATAGGATCTATATGTGGTTAAGCATGCCATTTGTCAGGTTAGCGTCACCTTTGATCTATTCCATGTACTCATAATCCATTAGATCAATTTTGTTGATCTTTGGTTTATTGTAGCTCAAAAGGATAATTTCAATAAATAACAATCATGACTACTGGAAATTAAAAAAAAGTAGTAATGAGAACAAGTAAGATCCAAATAACTCTAAATAGAGCACCATAGGTCCATTAATTTTTGGTGGTGTGTTATTTAGGTCCATCAAATTTTAAACTGTATTTTTGGTCCATTAACTTTTGGTGGTGTGTTATACAGGTCCATCAACTTTCAAACTGTATTTCTAGGTCCCTAAACTTTTTAACTAGTTCACCGTAGATCCGTACCCCTTCGTTTAGCGAATAGATCTGATATGACACGCCAAATAAGCAGTCACCATTGGTGGCTGTTTTTTTGGCGTGCTATGTCAGATCTATCCGCTAAACGAAGGTGTATGGACCTAGGGTGAACCAGTTAAAAAGTTTAAAGACCCAAAAATATAATTTAAAAGTTGATGGACCTGGATAACACACCACCAAAAGTTAATGGACCTAAAAATACAGTTTAAAAGTTGATGGACCTGGATAACACACCACCAAAAGTTAATAGACCCAAAAATACAGTTTGAAAATTGATGGACATAGATGATACACCATCAAAAGTTAATGGACCTACAGTGCATTTAACTCATTATTTTTTAGAAAAAAATCGATACTCATTAATGGACCTATAGGCAAAACCCCTTTGAATCAGCCTTATGACCAAAGTTGTCCAATTTTGATATTTCGATGGCTAAAGATCTGGTTTTGGAGTTTAATGGCCAAAATCATTAAGCTTGTTCGGCTGGCTGGCCAGCTTTTTTTCCAGCTGGAGCAGTGTTTTTCTCTTAAAAAAAAACCACCATAAACAGTAAAAACCAGCCTAAACAGTACTTTTTTTAGTTCAGCCGAACAAGCTGATACTCAGCAATAGTAGTTCCATTGATCAACATGCAATTCTGTATAAAAGAACTATGGACCACTTGGTAGCGTCTTTATAGTTTATATAGGCAAGGTTGCCTCTGTAGTCTGTACACATTCAGGCAAGCCGCAAGCCATAACCATGTCTCGTTATCTGAATGTCTGATATACACATGATGGAGAAGACGAGCAAAAGGTATCAGAAGATATTGTTAATTTACAGGTGAAGATGGTTACATGAGTAGAGGCTTTCATATTAGTACATTATGCTAATTTACAATGGAGTAAACAACTATTTTACAAACACATATATACCTCCTCGCCAAACTTGAAGTGCTCACTTATTTATCCAGAAACCTCCATGCCAACCTAAGTTCTATTAGAGAAGATGGTACTAGAAACCTCGAGCAAAAAGATGACAAAAAACAAATGGAAAATCCTCTGAATCCAAGTCTATTCGTATATTTCCTATTTCCTATCATTGAGGCGAACTGGGGAACTTGACCTAGGCAGACGATGCAAATCCATCATCGACAATGACCTCATAGGCACAGATGATGCGTTAGGCACACAAGAGCCGGATCGTGGTGTGGATATAAAACCATCAGGTGAACACGGAGAATGGAGATGCTCGGGCAGTTCGTGCTCTTCAGTGCTGATACTGCTGCTGCTCCTCGAACTGCTGCTAGCCAAGGTCACCAAAGAGTTTCTACTCAAACTAGCAAGCCTCTTAGGGGGGGCAGTTTCATAAACTTGAGCTGCTGATGTTTCATGTGAATTTCCATACATGATGCTGTAGGCAAGGAGATTCTTCCGTTTTCTGGAGTATGGATTCTCTGCTTTAGTAATGTCTTTTGCAGAGCCTGAAAATGTTATAGCTTCTTTAAGGCACGCAAATGATTTGGATTTACCATTATAGAATTTGGATATGCTGCGCCTGCCCAATAAAAAAAATCTGTCAGAAAAACAATATGTAGAAGCCATCATGCAGCCGACGAGCATATATATAGCAAAAGACCGAAGTTAACTGCCAGATGACTGGGTTGAGAAGTCCGATCGCATTTTTCCACACAAAAGTAATAGCATCACAATGCTATTTGGTTGATTTTATCGGGAAGCATAGGATAATCCCCTACAGAAAGAATTAAGCATGCGGTTTCAGATTTCAAACGTACTGTAGTGATAAAGAACAGGGATTTTCAGTTTCAAGAAGACCTTGGTATCATTTCACATTTCAGAAACAAACACCACGGCCAGATGATGTTATTTTAACTGAGTGGTGGCTTCAACCTTCGTGGTAAGTGTCAAGCAATACTGCAAAAGGACCCTATTGCAAAGGCTTCAACTCATTAGTAATTTTGGTCGCTTGGTGGTTATGGAAGCACAGTAATGGATGCTTCTGTGAGGTGACCTCTCCTAATTTCAATGTCATTATGCAAGATACAAGGGATGAGACCATCTTGTGGAGTATGGAAGCTAATACAGCAGTGGCATTTGCATGTATATGTTGGTGGTCGTTTTCCTTTTTGTTTACTTGGCATGGTCCATGTACTAAACCCTGCCCCAATGGGCTTGTATAAGTCTTATACTCTTCTTAGACTCCCTTTCTTCTTATTATTAATATAAAAAAGCAAAGATTTCAAAAAAAACCAAAGGTCATGTTTTGATTTTTGACTAAACAACAATCCAAAGCTGGTGAGACCATGGATATGCTGTGGGGGAACAGTACTTATGCTGAAGTGTATGGATGATATTATTGGTGGCTCATAAGCCAATAATTGATTTTCTGTGGTTCAGAGACACTCAAACCACTACAGTCTTTGTCAACTGAAAGTTGCTGCTTAA